CTGCCCAGAGCCACATCCAGCTTGGCCTTGAATGCCTTCAGGGATGGGACTTCCATAACCTCCTTGGGCAACCTGTTCCATTGTGTTCATGGTTGTCTTGGAAGATTGCTTAATAACTCGTACCAGTATCACCTATGAAATGGCCAGTTCAAGTTCTGGCAACATCCATAGATCAACTTAATAAAGACCCTGATATGTAATACTGTGTTACTAAAATATTCAATGAATTGACTAAGTTTGCTCAAGAACAAAACCACACTTCTCTCATTTTGTGGTTTCTTTTAATTCACACCCTATTTACTTATTAAAGATCTACCTTCCTTGCAGCATGGAAATGTTGTTTTAAAATCAATTCTGATTCATCTGACCATTATGATAAAGAAACATCAAACCACAGATTGGAGGGCCATGTGGTGCCAACAGTTCAGGAAGGTGCATTACAGACCAATCTCCTACACCTGCACTGTTCTTTAGGATGTGATATGCCTGTAGGTAACACAAAGTGCAGTTTTCTCTGGAAATAGCCTAACAAGACACCGTCACAAGGCCCGTTTACTGCAGAATTTTCTCTCTTTATGCACAATAAAGAGAAAAGGTGGAAATGCTGAGAGAGAATATTTTGCTCTGTGACTTGAAAACATGGGTTTTCAGACATCTCTGAGTTAGGAAATGAGTCAGATGGTTATTATTTACTCATCTAACTCCACGGTTTCTGCTGTAATAATCATTTTTATTGTAACTGGAAGCGTTGCATTCTTCAAAATTAAGACTTGAGAGATAAAAACTAATGGCAGTTTCTACTTCTCTGGTTACAAAATGCCAGTACATACCAGGCTGGCAGCCATATTCACACCTCAGATGATGGACTTCCCTGTAGGAGTTACAGGGGATCCGCTGGGTATTTATTCTGTGAGCAGCATTGGCAAAGATATGGGGATATCTGGCAGCAAGGCCCAAAGCAATCCAGGTGCTCCTGCCCTTGGTGGACTTTGGTCCCACAAGTCTATAGAACTCAGGGGGAGTCAGAGCTGTTATCCTGCCTCCCAAGGGTTAGACAGCCCTGCTGTAATACATCACACCCCATGATTTCTCCCTTCCTGAACAAAATGGAAAAATTTCCTTTATGGTCCTTGAACATTTCTTTTATGATCCTTGACAAGCAGGCTCGCCCAGTGCATGAGATCTGGCTGACACAAAATGGACAGAGAGTGTCACTGAGACAGCCAACCCTGAAATGCCTTCTGCATTAGAGGCAGTCATCATTTTGCTCTCTAATGATACAGCTATTGCCTCAAGCACTGTGCTTCTGCCTGCAGAAACGGAGGCTTAGAGATAGTGGTACATTTCTGAGCTATCTGAATTCCAAAGTGACTATCTTGTACCATATTCCTTCTTTAAGCAGCAGCCTAACAACTCAGTGTCTCTTTTGCTTTTGTTATCAAAGCAGTGTAGCAGAGGTACAGGCATTTCTACAGATCCCACATTCACCACAATGGTGCTGTATTTTTTCATTTGACAAGTACTGCTGGTGCCTTATTTTCCATCTCTACCAGTGTCATATAATTGTACTAGATGTCACTTCTCCTTGAACTAATGCCCTTCCTATTTTTACTTTTTATCCAGGTAATCATTGCACTTTCTCACTGCACATCCCTTTATGATTTATTTGCTTTTTTTTTTTTTTTTTTTTTTTTCAATAGCAGCAGATAGTGGTTCCAGTGGAATATAGGAGCTGTGGTTTGCATCCAACATACAGATGAATGAAAATAAGTTGTTCCTGCCCTCTTTAAACAGCCTACAGTGGAAGGAAGGAAGGAAGGAAGGAAGGAAGGAAGGAAGGAAGGAAGGAAGGAAGGAAGGA